CCTTTTCTTTTCTTTTCTTTTCTTTTCTTTTCTTTTCTTTTCTTTTCTTTTCTTTTCTTTTCTTTTCTTTTCTTTTCTTTTCTTTTCTTTTCTTTTCTTCTTTTCTTTTCTTTTCTTTTCTTTTCTTTTCTTTTCTTTTCTTTTCTTTTCTTTTCTTTTCTTTTCTTTTCTTTTTTCTTTTCCTCTCTTCCTTTCACTCTATTTTTTCTTTTGATATTTTTAATAAGGCATTTATTAAAAAGGCCTCACGAGCATTTTGTGGTTTTATGAACTATTCAGATTCATCTGACAGAAAGCAGGACGTTCCGGTTTTGCACAGTTTCCTACCATGAAAAATAGGAAACCCTGCAAAGCTTTTATTTTCACCATCTGTTTTATTAACATATTATTTTTTTCTTTGTACTCGATAAGGATTGTACTTATTACAAAACAAACTCCTCAACTTTTCAATACATACATCGGTCATTACTGTATGATACAAATGTGGTATCACTTGCAACATTTCAATCGTTTGGGACTGATGAAAAAGAAAACCCAACATTTGTTATTATTTTTATTTGTTCATTCCTGACTCTCCAAAAAATGATACCCGGTAATACTTTTCTATAAAATAATATTTTTACAAATGCATTTATTAAAAATTCTGATGACATTTCAAGTCAATAACAACAGAAACAAGGTAATTTCCGGTGGATGAGATCTATGGTTTTTTAAAAATACCTTTAGTGCTTATTTTTTAACATCAACAGTTGTTTAAAATCACAGCTTTTTTGAACGTATTATTCTCTTCTGAACATCACGTGTCTTGATTCACAGATTTACCGGCAAAATTAAAAAAGATTTGGCTAAAATATGTCTACAGAAGAAATAATCCCAGCTATTAAGTAACTTTTTACATTTGGCATCTGATCTAGTCACAGGTCATCAGAAAATAGAAAGAGGTTCTTTGATCACTTGAAGCAGTAGGTGGCATCCTATACGTTCCTAATGAACAATTGCATTCACAACATAAGGAGAGATCAGTTTAGGATTTTCATATTTATTAACCCAAAATAAAAATAAAGTATCTTGTTACATAATTAAGTGCAATTAGGCCAGTCAGAACAACATATAAACCTGAAACCACCCAAGCTTTTCTTCTTTATACATATTTTGTAGGTGCATAATCCTTTCCAGCACACTGAAAAGAAATACTTCAGAAGTCCTTCTTAAAATTTTACTTTGATTTATATTCTGCAGTTATAGAATAAATTTCAAGAAACACACGCAGCTAATATATAGTTAATTTTATTCGGAGCACCGATTTTCACATAAGAGCTATCTCAAAGTAATGATTTCTGGATTTAAGCAGAAAAATACATCTCTCACTATTTTCTTTTTGGTAGAATTAGTCTTATCATCTAACGGCCATACCTTGAATTTACCAGCCGAGTCTCGGAAATATTTTTTTTTAAATGCACCCAATAATAATAGTAACTATTCTGTTTTCACGTTTGTTTTATTTGTAAGTATGCTGGGACGCATCTCCCTGTTGTATTTTGGCATACAGAAATATTTCTGATAGAAATAAAAGTAATAAAGACACAACCAAGGAGAAAGCTCAGCAAACATACATGGACAGGTAGATTATTCAGTGAGACATTTTAGGATCCACACGTGGTTGCAGTTTGTAACCCTTTTATGTTGTTTTGTGCATTAAAGAAAATATTTACAATCGTCTTTCTTATCTTTTTTTCCCATTTTTCTTCCTTTTTTTTTTCTTTCCTCTTTTAATTCTAAATACAAGAACGTGACAAGAACGTTTGTGTTTTCGGTGAAAACAGGCAGTTAAACTGTGAGATTACACCATCCACAAAAGATTCTACCAGAAGCTAGTCTATTTAGTGCTCAGTTTCAAAATGCATAGAATGTTTGCGCTGCAAACAATGATACACGAAATAATAATAATAATATTAATAATAAAATAAATAGATAAATAAATAAATAATATAGAGACTTTAACACGGATCTTTCTATGCCTTTTTTTTCCTTTTTTCTTTTCCTTTTTTTTTTTTTTTTTAGGTCATGTCATGCATAATTTCAGTCTATTGTTTGTTTTGATTTAAACAGAATTGTATTTTCTTTGCAGAAATTCCTTGTTACTTGAAAGCCTTAGTAGTCTCTCTGCAAAAGCCAGAATCAGCGATGGCTTCTGCACGTCGCTGCCCTTTTTACCTAACAAGCCCTGATATTTTTTTTGTTTGTTTTCAACTCGCGAGATATGTAACGCACTTTGATAGTTATTAGTACTACCAGCATCGTTTTTATGGTATAACATCATCACTTCCAATCCAGGAGACTGTTATAGTGCAAATTGAACCCCACACACCCCTCCCAAAAGCCAACCTCTACATAACGTTTATTATTTACAATAAAAAATTTTTAAGCCCAAATTTTTTTTGTTCCGTGTTTGTTCCTAACATGCAGACCCCTCAGAAACAAATGTTATTTCAAACCCATTTCAAACTGGTGATTTCCTTTGCCTACCGGGTGCAATAACCCTCAGCCCTCGGAAAAAAACAAGGAAGGACCTTAACCTAAATCCTGCATATTTGGTAGGGATGCCGGGGGGCATAGGGTTGGGAGCAGCGGGGAGGGAGGGAGAGGAGAGGACATACTTAACCGCAAGCATTAATGAGTCTGAACATAATCTTTTGCAGAGCATCCCTGCTCTGGCAGGTTTGGCATCTGCCTCCAGATGCATCTCTGCAGAAAGAGGGACCTGTCTTTGGACACAGCTGGAAACGCAAACCACGCAGGCGAGGGAGGAGGAACAAAGGGGCTGTGGAGTAACTTTTTTTTTTTCCTTGTTTTCATTGAGCTAGCTAGGAATATTGAGGCAATAACGGAAAGAGACCGCTCCCGAGCTTTGGGAGGACCGGCTATCCCGTCGGGCTGCGGTGGCTCCCCCGGCCCTGGCCCCTGTCCCATTCGCACCACTCCCCCGCCACAGACAAGACCCATCGCCAAAGCCTCGCGCAAAACCGCGTTTGAGGAAAAACAAACAAACAAACAAACAAACAAAACCCAGAAAAAAATATCAAAGCAAACAAACAAAGAAAAACCAAATCCAAGCCAACCAAAGAAAAAGTTCCCCAAACCACCGCCGACCTCATTCATTACCAAGCCAAGGAAAAGAAAGAAAAGCATAAAGTAATGAAAAAAGACCCAAACCAAACGTAGTATCATCATCACCGACAGTTTCGCCTTCCAGGTTTGTTGGTCGGTTTTGTTTTCCTTCGGAAAGTTGTGACTTAGGTTTCTCGGTTTGTGGTTGTTGCTGTCACGGTATTTATTGGTGTGTGTCTGTGTGTGTTTACGCTTTAAGTTGCGCTTTCTCCCGCTTTCTGTCAGGGGGTGGGGGGTAGAGGGGGAATGGGCCCGCAGAAGTGACCCCCNTAACAACATTTAAAAATAAATTAGTACATTACTAGGATAAATAAACCTCCTATTAACAGAACAAAACAAAAAAAAAAATCCCTCAAACAAAACCCAACGAAATCATGTACAGAACTTAAGACTTCAAACAGTCTCGGATAGAACAGCAATACAGCGAAATCTGTAAGAATATATCTATATGTGCGTCAACGCCAATGAAATATTTACAACACATACAGGTACCCAACCGAGTACCCTCAGTTTATTGTCGTTGTTCCAAAAAGAAATGTACCAAATCAGTTGTGAATTTACAAGCAGTGCAGTCTCGCTCGCTCGCTCCCCTTTCCTACAAATTTTAATTTGGCTTTTCTACAAACAGACTTCCAAAAAGGGACTTTTCTCCGTGGAAAAGTATTGCGATTAAAGGTAATAAATAACCGACCGACCAAATAAATAAATAAATAAATAAATAAATAAATAAATAAATAAGCAATCGGATAGATAAATAAATAACCGAGCCGGTCTGAATGCCGTCGCGATACAGCTTTAAAATCGAGAAAGACGGATATTGTGCTGGCAAGAAACCCGAAGCGACAACCCCCCTGCCCCACGCTGTCACCTACGCGGCCACGTCCTTTCTCGCTTCGGGAGCAGCGTGTGGTGGGGACAATATGGGAATCCCCATTAAATATGTAACACGGTAAACAAATACCTCGGACAGTGAATCAGGCTACACAAATAATGTAGAACATCTACTATAGGGTGCCGACGCCGTACGAATAGGAATACTCGCCAGAGAAATACCTTAGGTTCAGGTGGCAATTTACAAATGGCCAAAAGGGACGTTCAGAAGAAAAGCTCACGTTCATAAATCCTACCAACACAAAATATTTGATTCTCACTAACAATTTTTTTTTTTACTTTTATCAAGACTTAGATTAAAGAGGTGTAATTAATTAGAATGAGCACAAAATGAAGTTGCTAGAGAGATAAATTAATAATTTACAAGGGGTTGTTTGGCAGTAATCTAATAATAGCTTTTGAAGACCAGTGAACACAGCAGGATCAGCTCTTTCCCTAAGCGTTATAACTTCAGAGAAGGAAAAGGATAATAACCACAGTAAAAATATATATATATTTATATATTTATAGTACGCAGTGTAAATGCAGAAAAACCTGCCATCTGTTTTTTTTTTTTAAATCATTATTATTATTATTATTATTTAAATCAAAATACTTTTGAGACGTCTCTCGCGGCGCGAAGCCTCAACTCTAGATTCAAGTTTGGGTCCCGAGAAAGCCATGACATCGTGGCCACCCTGCTGCCACCCGGGCGAGGTCTGTTAGGAATAAAAACCAGCGGTACTTGCCGGGGCGGGTCCGGGCGCGGCTCCGCGGGGAAGTTCCCCCCGAAAGTTGGGCGCGGGGCGGGCGCTGGGGTGGGCTGGTGTTGTTTGTTTTGTTTGTTGTTTTTTTGTTTGGTTTTTTTGTCTCCTTTCCTTTTTGCTGTTGTTGTTGTTGTTTAATTAATTTTTTGTTGATGACGGTGATGCTGATGCTGTCGATGCTCCTCCGCGGCCGGCTCAGATGCCCGCCGAGTACTTCATGCGCTTCTGCTTCTGGCGCTGGTTGCAGAACCAGACGCGSACCACGTTCTTCTTGAGGTCCAGTTTTTCGGCGATGGCGGCGATCTTCTCGGAGGAGGGCCGGGGCTGGACGGCGAAGTACGCCTCCAGTGAGCGCTTCTCTGGGGCGGCGATGGAAGTCCGCTTGCGCTTCTTCTCGCCCCCGTTGAAGAGCTCGGGCTTGTTCATTTTTTCCCGCTGGGCGCCCTCGGCCTCCTCCAGCCAGGCCTGCAGGATGGGTTTGAGGGCGATCATATTGTTGTGGGAGAGGGTGAGGGACTCGAAGCGGCAGATGGTGCTCTGGCTGAGGGAGCCCACCCCCGGGATCTTCAGGTTGGCCAGAGCCGAGCCCACGTCGGCCTCCAGCCACGCCTGCAGGATGGGTTTGAGGGCGATCATGTTGTTGTGGGAGAGGGTGAGGGACTCGAAGCGGCAGATGGTGCTCTGGCTGAGGGAGCCCACCCCGGGGATCTTCAGGTTGGCCAGCGCCGAGCCCACGTCGGCCTGGGTCACCCCCAGCTTGATGCGGCGCTGCTTGAAGCGCTCGGCGAAGGCCTCCA